GACTCAACCCTTCCAACCAGTTTATTCAATTTTAGGTCTCCAGTAACCCACCTTGCACAGAACCAGTGTTCTCCAGTGACTGGTACAGTAACACAGCTTAAGCCAAGGGACAAATCTCAGCTGCTGGGCTGCACTTTGACCAGTGGCTGCTCATTTGGGTTTCACACAGCACATTCCAGCGTGCCAAAGTGTTAATCCTCGAAGGCTTCTAGCATAGCAGCTACTGGATGCATATCTCACTTCTCTCGCTGCTCAGAGAAAACATTGCAATTTGATTTAATTGCTATGTTGACTTATAACAGTATGTTTATACTGGATGCCTGCCAGCTCACATGCAACAGGTTGGCAAAATGTATTTCCTCAAAACAGCATGAGATGCAATGTAATAAGGAAAGCAATCTTTCAGCTGCCTCGGTTCTGGAGTTCGTTTGAACTCCTCTGACTTGGAAGCAATGCTACCAATTCAGAAGGATTACACCAGCCTAATTGATATGATAATCAGGCCTGGAGGCTGCACTTCCCAGGTACAACAGCCACACTGCAACTTCTTAAAGGGAATATAACTGCAGGAAATGAAAGCGATTAACAGTTGTTTGTATTATGGGGATTGTTTGGCCTATTTAATATCCCTATCAAAAGATGCATTATTTGTTGAACAGTCCTAAAAGGAAATCAAAGAGAAACTTGAAGAACGTTGCTAATCCTTTGTCACTGTAAGTATGACATCTAAAAGCCAGTAAAAAGCTGGGCTTTGCCAATTGAAACAAAAATCATAGAATCATAGAATCATTTAGGTTGGAAAAGACCCCTAAAACCATTGAGTCCAGCCACTAACACAGCACTGCCAAGCCCAGCTGTTACCCCAGCACACTGTGTTCAGCACTACATCACATTCCCAAGTGTCACCTCCACATCCCCAAGCGCCACTCTCAGCTTCCCATGGCCTTGGCTGCCACATTTCAGCCCAGGGGACAGCACCCATGTCTTTGAGCCAAAAGGTAGCTACAGGAACTTTACAGAAACAGAAAGGTGAGTGTGCTTGTTTCATTTCCATAGAGCACCAGCTTTGCCCTAGGCTGTGACTGCCCACTGGTTTTGTGGTTGGCGCTGGGATGGGTCAGGGCTCTGAAGGTGCAGGAACATGGAGATGCTCCCAGTGGGCAACATTATTTCAACAGCAGCAAGTTTCAGGAGGGACAGCAAGGGCAAAAGTTACAAAAAATGTGGTCAGCAGCGTTTGATAAGTTACTGAAGGAGACGACCAACTGTGATTCAAGGGCACTTCATTTTTTGACCCCAAAGTCTCCTCTGGCCTGGTATCACCCTCATGCTGATTGGTTCTCCTTCACTAAAGACTTTAACTTTGAACTTCATCTACTGAAAGAAACAGCCATGTGGCTCTTACCAATACTGTATTGTGACTTATAATACCAGAAGAAAAGAAAAAAGATGTTAAAAATATCCAGTAAAATCTAAAGTTGGAACAGAACTGGCTTTTATCTGTTTCAGCCAAAAGCAAGTTCACAAGATACAGTAGTATTTCTTTGAATGGAACAAATAAACCTCAAAGATTTTATAATGAATACCCCTTCTGCACATTTGTACAAAGCAGTCTATAAAACTGGGAATGAGAGATGACATTCTTAAACACAGACCACAGGACACTTTTCTCACAACTCCAGTAACTAGGTATCATTTTCTATTGGATCCTATTTGGCTTTTCCATAAGGAACTGTAAAAACCTCTCTCAAAATCCTGGCACCAGTGTGTGCAATAGGAATCCTAACACTGGCTATGTTGGAGCAGAATATCCCTCTTCAAGAATAAAGCCTTGGGAGGGAAAAAAATAGCATGTTGGTTTTGTGGCTCAGCCAGCTATTTAACTCCACAAGCTCACAGAAACAAAGGGGAACCAAATAAAACTAGAGAGCATATGTTCCTCTTGGAGAAATGAGGCAAAACCCTTTGAAATTTATGGCTCTACCCATCCCTACCTGGTAAGTCATAGAGAAAGCTGCAACTGCAGATATCAGCAATCATGAAAATAGGTTTTATTATGCTGTATGTACAATACTAGTACAGTTAGACACACTAATCATGGGAGAAGGGGAGGTTGCTATTTTTCTTCTGTCCCATATGGTAATAATTTTGCATGATTGAACTGTTATGAGCTAAATAAAACTACACATTAAGTTAAGATACATTGCAAACACATTAAATCTTCCCTGGAGTTTTAGCAAATACGTGCTTTTTCTATCATGCATTTAGAATTAGTAAAGGAATCTACACTGGGCCATAGGATTTATAAATAGATTTGGCTTCCTCTGCAATACTTTATGGGCCATTATTTCAGAAATGAAGATGCAGAGCCACGAATAAATAAAATAATTGCAGCTGATCAGGCTTTATTTACTGCTATCCCATTTCCCTGACTTCTATGCTTCCCTCCTCTCATTTGCTCCACTATCCTGAATCAATGACCAGATGAAGAGCTGTCAGTTAATGTGAAACACAGAGCATAAAAGATGCCAAAGGCTGATTCTGGTTTCCCCACTTCCAAATCCTGCCTGGGCCTTTCCAGAGCTGGCTTTCTCCCTGGATAAATTCCACGTGGAATTGGGAGGCTGGAAAAGGGCAGAGCCAGTCAGATGAGTTCTGCAGGGTCTCCACCAGTTCTCCAGGGAGCACATTTTGCTGTGACTCCCCTGCAGAAGTCACTGCCAAAGGTCTGGAGACCCCTATTGCCTCTTGTCCTGAGAAAGAACACCCAGCTTTGTGAAGCCTCAATCAAAAGGGTACCCTGTAGAAAAGAGAGAGCACCAGAATCAGCCTGCAAAGTATCTAGGGAGTGAAGAAGATCCTACAAGAAGTCTCCTAGATTTAAAGCCTGGGTTTTTTTTTTATTTTTATTTCATTCTCGGTTGCTTCTTTCTGTATAAAGAAATGATGCTGCAAACCTCTCCAAGAACATCAACCTCAGTCCACAAGGCGGTGAAAGAGGCCAATGGGACCAGATGCCAAAGGAACCAGGAAGATTTACGCTGGGTGAGCATCTGGCTCCCTGTTCACCGTTATCAGAATGAAGACAAATGCTTGCAAACACCCTTATTCAAAATCACTAATGTGTTCAGTGATGCTCAGCACAACTGCAGCAGCATTGCTCCTGTAAGGTCTGCTGACTGGAAAAGCAGATGCTGAGTGCTTCTTCCAGGGGTATATGTGATGCAAAGAGCAGTGAGGAAACAGTGCACTGCTGCCCCTCAAATCAAGCAAAGGGAATGATTAAGACATCATTTTCTGTTGTTGTTCTAGTGGATGGTAGTAATTGCTTCTACACAGGAATGTGGCTACACTTCTATTGTCATCCATCATCCTGCTGAGGCTGTGTATAGCACAGTAGCAGTGGCAAACTTTTGATTTGACCTCATTAGCATTCCCAGAATTACAATGTCATACCAATGATAAAGACTGAGATTATCTGCATCTGAGAAAACAGAGAAGGAGCAAATCACACACTGTGTAAAAAGCCAACAGTGCAACCACGACTCTGCCAAATACTTAAAGGCTGCTTGAAACCCCCTTGGTTCTTGATTTTGCACATGAGACAAGACACAATTAGGAATTGTGCCTATATATATCAAACTTGCAGATAAAGGGGATGAGTTCATGCACTGGTGACCTGAAAATTTGGGGAGAGGACAGGGAGAGGAAGGACAGATGCTGGAGCAGATGCTCTCTGCTACCACCTTCCCTCTGACTTGTCAATATTGTCTGTGCTTCCTCCAACCTCTCCCAGGCAACCAGAGATCCACTGAAAACAAGGAAAAATTTGTGTGCAATTGGAAATAACAAATTTGCACAAATGCCTTGTGCTGCCTGAAAGTTCATAGGATTTCCTTGTGATTCCCAGGACAGATGAACATAGGGAGGGTTCCTGCACAAACTTGGGTTTGAGGGGAAGTGGGACCAATTCTTTGGCCCTTCTGCAAGTCAAATCTGTACTTTTCTGAAGTCAATCTATAGCAAAATCTATAGTGAAATGGCGAATTTCTGAGTCTCCAGCCAGCAGCTTCCCTCTGAGCTGTGCTCCCCACTACAGCTCTAACACAATGCCAACACATATTCCAAACCACTCTTCTCAGTTACTTTAGTCTTTTATGGACCATCGTGGAGAAAATTAACTGAACTTCCCTACAGTGGGAACAAAAGAAGGAAATGGATTTATTATTCCAGTGGTACCCTTGACACAGATACTGAGTAGCTTCATTAAACATTTTGCAGCCCCGAGCATCTTTGATGAACCCTCTACAATAAGCAGAGTCATTTTCCTTATTACAAAACAAACATACAGGTCAGGATTCAGGAGTCATTTACATCTGCTTTGTATTTGAATAACTTATCTCAGTGGGATCTGGGCAGGCACAAATCAAGGCCACATAATCCTAGTCCTTCCCTTTCTCTCCAGAGTCATTACCTTGCAGTTCCACTCTTGGATAACCTCATTTTCACAGACTCAGCATAGCCACAGCCAAATGACTAATACAACCCTTTAACACAAACAACAATAAATCAACTGATTAAATTATAATTTGTCAGACAAATACTATTTAGCTCTTCCCAAAGCTGTTCTGAACCACCTCTCTTGTCTGGCCATGTTCCAGAGGAGCACTGACACTAGATAAAGCTCAGACCTGTGCAGTAAGTTTACATAGGAAAGAAATGCTGAAAACATCTTGTATTTATGATGGGAGATTTCACAGAGATCAGAGTGCATAACATTCCTGACAAGACTGTAATGTCTCTGAAGCCTCCTCAGCATCTCTTCCAAAGACCAGCCTAGCAGAACAAGGTATCAACAGACCCTGAAGCTCCAGACTCGGCAACAAGCCTCAGGAATGAGACATGTTAACCTTGAGAGACACTACAGCAAACTTCTAACAGCTTAGAAAATGGCTATTCCACCCCAATTTCACTTAACAACACACACTTTTTTGACTTACTTCATTGGTTTGAACAATGCTTGTCCATAGTTCTGGAATGTCATGATCAGCTTCAGCTGGGTGCCTCCTGATTTCATCGCTGGGGGAAAAAAACAAAACTGTTTTAAAATGTGACATGTGGATCTACTTAATTCAGCTTCCTTGAAACCAAATCATATCTATTTTGCTCTGTATTAGGTGCAGCACAAAGCAGGGTAATCCTAACTGGACAACAGATTATTAGAGTACAGGGAAGGGCTTTGGGCTGCTGACCAGGACTTAACATGGATTGTACTTCCTGACACATCTTTGTCTTCTTCAACTGGCCACTGTGGGCTCCATAAGCACCCTGACTGAACAGCATGGATAGGAACAGACCATTGGAGTCTTGTTTTCTCCATCTTCAATTGCTCTGGGAGTTCCTTTTAACAAGGGACACACATTGGGAAAGGAGACGGGGTGCTTTCAAAGACATCTGCAGCTGGGATGTACAGTCCAATGCACAGCAGACATCTCCTTAATTAAAAGCACGAGCAGATACTGCAGCAATCTCTGATCTCTGCTGTGATTTTATTAATGGCTGCTGAGCAGTAGAGATATGTAAATTCACCTCCTCTATGCACAATGGATTTGTATCCAGCCCAGCTATTAACTTCAAGGGATCCCAAGGTGGTTCATACATGAGAGTGGAGCTGTGCAGCCTGGCTTGGCTGGGAGGGCAGGAGAGGACACATGGAGGCAGCAAGGACAGTGGCCCACACTGCACACTGAGGGCTATGCTCACCTCCCAGCTGGGAGATAACGGGAATTTAAGACTGATATCTATTCATACCAATCTGAAAAATTTGGACAAAACCACACCAACAGCCAGATTATAGTGTTTCTAAAGTTGGAATGATTTTTCTATATGTATAAGAATTCACAAAAATGCATTTTAATTGATGATAAGGTTACTTAAAAAAAGAAAAACGTACTTTGGCAAACAGCTGCTTTTCTACTGCCTCATTCAAAAGTGCTCTGAATAAATGAAATGACCTATAGCCCAACTCCTTAATGTACCTCTGTGTTGGGAGAGGCAGGGCATGGCTGTCAGGGCTGTGTGGATGAGTCAGGCCTTTAGAGAGGTTTTCTACGAATCATCAGATAATCAATCCCTTTCTTTAGAGTTCTGACAAAACCCATGTCAACTGGAGAACTACATAAATGTCAGGTTATCTTGCTCTGTAAATTTTGGCTTAGAGTTGCCCTTGTTCGACCTATATAGTTTGTATTTTTTTTCTCTAAGTAATGCCATTGGCTGCACATCTTTTTAATTACTCGTCTCTGTGTCTTATCACTGATAGGTCATCAGCTCTCTTTCAGCACTTGTAATCTATACTTTTGCAACAAAATGCTATGCAAATCTGGTTAGAATAATTATACTTCTAGAAAAAAAATCCCTCTTGCCTTGCTGTTTTGCTGATCCCAGCCTTCTCTTGCATTTCCAGTTTATCCCAAAGGAACAAATAAATAATTAGAAATTAAAGGGCATTAAGCAATTTGAATTGACCAGGTAAAGCAGAAGCACGTGGCTTTCATGGATTAAACTCCTTCTCTTGTGCAGAACAGGTCAGTTGTTCTGCACCTGAGGGGAGAAGGAGCACTAGGCTTTTTCATACCCAACCCACAGCCTGAGGGCAATGAGAAGCAGAAATCCTCCAGTCCAAAACCTACGTGTGGTGCCTCGGGACCATCACACCCAGCTGTGCACTCTGGAAACACCCCTGGTGAGTCTGGGCAGCGAGCAGGCAGCTGGAGCTGCCCTGGCCTCATGCCCACAGGGACACACAGGGCAGTCCTGACCACCTTCCCTGCCCAACCACTGCCAAAGGTGCGGGATTTCAAATAAAACATGGAATCACACAATGGCTTGGGTTGGAAGGGACTTTAAATATCAACTAGTCTAACCCCCTGCAATCACAGCAATGCAAAGAAGAAGAAAAAGGGATGTTTCATCACACCCTTTTCTAAGCACAAAGTTTTGGACATGCTAAGGCGACTGGTTTCCCAGAAAGTTGAAGCCACTTGACAGATAATGATTTTGTTAGCAGCCAAACTCCACAGCGAGTATGTCATCACCAGGCAGGGAAACGTATGAAGAAGATTAACAATTCAGAGTAATTCTTCCATGAGACACACAAGCCTGGTTTCCTGTCAGAAGGAATTGAGCTGAAGTAAGACAAAAGCGTCTCCCTCGTCTTTTTGGATCCCTCGTATTGTGTTGCCTTAATTGGTTGCACCCGCAGCCTCCACCCAACACAAATTTTGCTGGCACGTTGCTCCTCCACTGCTGCGAGGAGCAAACTTTGGGCCCCTCCAAGCCAAAGGGTGACACTGGTGGGAATGGTGTCCCATCGTGCTCTCTAGCAGGGCATGCTGGAACCCACGTGCATCATGGAAAACAGCCCGTGCCAGAACTGCACCTCGGTTTCCCGCCCCATCATCCAGACGTGCAGATATTCCCACTTTGTCTGCCCTGCCAGTGCTGCAGATGTGCTGGTCAGGCTGGGGGTGATTCAAGGCCACCCTCCAAATGCAGACTAGTTAGAACCCAACATTGTAATCCCTGCAGAGATGGAAACACCTAAACTGAGACTGTTCTTTTAAACTCAATAAGACCCTTGCTGTACCTGTAAAATAAGCAGGCTTGGGCGAAGTCCAGGGTGCCCGAATTTTGGGGTGGCAATGCCAGAAAAGAGAAGATCTCATTGGAGATGATTCACTCTGACCTCTAGGTCAGATCACTTCCCTTGTCCCGACTTAGCATCACATCTTCATACTGGCTTCCCTCTCATTTCCTGAGCTGTATTCCTCCAGGAACTCATTCTGCTCAGACCTCAGTTAAACACACCTCTCTGGCCATTTTGGCCAAATAACGGGAGCCCTGTCATTTTCCAGGGGTTTCTCCCAAATGAACATTGCTTGCTCATCTGGAGATATCCTTGTACCTTCATCTACTGCCCACAGGAACATTTCTGAGGAATGTATAATACCCAGAAGCAATGGATCCAATTCTCCAAGGAAGTGGATGATGCTACACCATTGCAGTCTGTCACGTCTGATCAGCAGGCTTAGGGATTTTTACTAAGGCCTTGCAACACAAGGCTGTATTGACTCCAAGGGAACCACTAGTCACTCTCTAAATTCACCTTTCTTTTTTTTTTTAAGGTTTTTTAATATACTGTAACATCACAGGTCACAAACAGCTCTGTAAAAGGCTTTATAAACCTGCTAGCTCACAACAGGCACTTCAAATCAAGTCTCATACAGCTCCTGGATGTACTGGCACACTGCTACAAACAAATCCCAATACTATCATTACTTTTCATCTTCAGGCGATTCAAAGCCTCTCTTTTCCCCCAAAGTAGAAGGAAATGGAAAGCAGCATTAACCTTTCCTGTTAACCCCGTGTAAGGGCTCTCGAGTGTGATCAGAAATCTTCCAACTTTAGGAGGCTTTGCAAAAAATTCCCTAAGAAATCTTTTTGCTTGAATGACTGGGATTAGAGTCTTGTCCAAAGATTAGTGAAATTGGTGGGATTCTCTCTGTTTTCTCTGTTAGATTTTGGATCAAGCCTGCAAAAATCCTCACTCCATTTACATCTAGGAGCCTGCTGTCATGACCACATTCCATGTCTGCTACTTCCCCACCTTGTCCCCTCACCAACACAAGTCCTGAATTCCCTCCCTGAGCCAAACACACCAACCAATACAAGGTACCCTACCTATCAGCTCTCAGTCATCTTTTTATAACTGTATGCCACCGGGTTTCTGGCTACCATCCAGTACTAACTCCCAGTAGAGATACAATCCTGCCCAAAGGGATCTGACCCAGAAGAATTTGGAATTTCAATTGTTCTGTCTTTCCAGCTCCTCTGGTTTACTTCATGATAGCCCTGGTCCTACCAGCCTATCTAGACCATATGGTTTTCTGATGGAGAGTGAGAGTCCCAACAGGATCTTTGAACCTTTTCTGATTCTTTTGGTCAGAATCCAACAAACGTTTTAAAATATATTTAATTATGCAGCGCTAATGCCTGAGAAGTGAGATCCAGTCCCAGCTTGGGATGCAATTAACATCTGAAACAGAGGATGTTCAGATCCATTTTGGATTCCTATTTATAGATCAAGCTTAAATCTAACATAAACATGTTGATTGGCTTTAACAAGTAATGCTCTGCCCCAGGCTAGAGACATGGCCCTGTACGAACTGTAAAGAACATATTTCAAAACAAATTCAAGCCCTCATTATCTCTTAATTTGTCCTTGTTCAGTCAGTTCTGCTAACTTGTTTTTAAAGGACTTTCTTGGTTTAGTCAAGAAAGTAAAAGACTTCTGCAGAGGAAGAGATCTGTGAAATTATTCTCAGGCTTTGTTGTACATTTTAAGTCCCCTCCTTTCATCTGGAATTGTACATTAAATCAATCTGCTGACTCTTGGCAGATTCATTGTTTTCTTATACAGTAAATCAATGGTGCTACATTTCATTATGTTTTTCACAAGTTCTCAAAAGCACTTTTTCCTTTCTTTTGGATGAGGTTTTTATACTTTTCTTTAGAACCAGAATTTATGTTCAATATTTAGCGTCTTGTCTTTTTCTTCTCCCCCCCCCTTTTTTTTTTATTTTGCCTGCCTTGAAGCAGAGTCCACCTCGGGTAATAGCAGCATTTATCCCCCGCGTGAGTAATCTCGCACGCTTGCTTTCTAATTACTGCCTGAACAAACTGAAGGCATCAGAGGTTCAGAAATTACCTCAGTCAGGTTATGTTTCCAAACCTTTACAACCAGAGGATTTAAAGAATCAAAAAAATAAACCCTACCTAAACAGAGGAATCACAAAGGCCTATTCTGCTTACAGGCACAGCACAGCTCCTCTGGACAGCAATACAAGCAAGACCAAGCCCATGCTGCCCCTACAAAGCACCATGCCAGAGTTGGTGTTAAGCTGCTGACAGTGCTGCAACAATTATGCACAGACATCTTGTAAATATGCAAGAAAACAGCTAACTATGGTTATTTATGCATGCAATAAACAGTTATGAAAGGCAAAGGAAATGTGCAATTGCCTGTGCATGTACTTCTGAAAACCAGGCTTCAGTGTTCAGTGGAAAAGCAATTCTCTCTAGGCTCCTATTTATGGCAAGAGGAAATTTTCAGTGAATTAAATCAAATTAAGAGTTATCCCTTTATGCTGAACAAAATGAATAGAAAATATATATATACTGATGCAGGGCACAGAATTCATCCTCAGCCCGAGAGCCTGGGTAACCCTGTCCTTTTCCAGGCCAGCTCTAGGTGTCACTGTGGGAGCTGGATGTGATGTTCCTTCCCATCCATGGAATTGTTCCATTTAAACTTTAACATCAAGAAAATGTCACCTTGGTGCTCCCTGCTCTTGGGAATTGCTTCTGTCACCATTTTCATTTTAAAATACCACTGTACGTTTCAGAGTCATGTGAGTGGTTCTAATAGACATGGGAGATCAATCTGGTCACCACTCTCCCCCATAAATAATGCAAGCTGAGCAGAGAAATCACAGTGTGGCCAAGAAGGCTGTTTTGCTGCAGTTTGGATCTAATTACTGTGGGTATCAAGCAAAGCATCTAATTCTATTAGAGCCAAACTAAATCTGAATACTGGGAAGAAACTGGATAAAGCAATATCCCATTTCATCTAATGCATGTAACCCTGTATGTTTAATTGTCCTGCTCGCTAAAAGAAGCCTGAAGACTGGGCAATGTAAAGGTTTCAATTTATTTTATACTCCTAAGCTGATATCTTCCCAGCTGCCTTAGAGGAAAAAAAAAAACAACAAAAAACTCAGCAAAAATGGACCATAAGGAAAAAAACAAGACTAATTAGAAGATATGCAGGAGTTTGCAAAGAATGTAACAGACCTATAAATGTCCTTTGGTCAAATATATTACCCTTTATTAATCAGCTTAAATGCTTTTGAATCCCTGTGCTGCTCTGCAGTAAAGCTGAAAACTGGCAGGGATTACATTAAAACATGTATTTTTAAACACTCAAAGAATTTGGAACATAAGAGATGCTGCATTGTGTAATAAATAATAAAAAAAAGTATATTAGCCTCCAGTCTCATATTAAAAAATGTTAACAATATGTTCTTTCTTTTGTTGCAACCTGACAAAGCTCCCGAACCCCCACAGGGACAGACAATGAATGCTCCCACCAAAATTCAGATCCTGGCATCTCTACATCAACAGAAGTCCCCTTTCCATTTCCATACACTTGATTTTAAACTGGGATTTATGTGTAGGAATCATTCTCTGTCAGTTACCACAGTGGCCAATACCAACACCAAATGTACCTCATGGTTTAATTTATGGAAATTATACTGATTCATTGCTAGAAACCATGGTCTGTGTTTTTGTTAGAGGCCTGAAAGGCCCTACCATGCTTTTAAGAGCCTTGTTCAAACATTAACAGAGACAATCCCAAAGGGAATAGCTAATAGCAACCATAAATCTTCCTCTGTGGTCCCATGGCCCTTTCCCCTCGTTGATCTGAAAGCTCTATCAAAATCAGAATTAATGGAAACCCCATGACACATCCATATGATACATTAGGTGAAACCACGGCCCCAGGGAAGCAAATGGCAAAACTTCCACTTACGTCACCAGGGTCAGGATTTCACTCCTATGTTTTATGAGGATAGTGTTTTGCTGCTAGGATAATTGAAGCACAGACTGGTGAAGCCACATGCCCAGAAGCACAAGTGAAGACCAAGCCCAGATGATCAAGTGAAGAGTGAGGACTAAACTATTATTTCTTGCTCCTACCTCCATTTTTCTCCCACCAGCTTCTATGTCCCTACATCAACCTTAGCCATCCCACTGCTCTGAAGAAGTGACAGACTTCGTGGCTCAAACACTGCCAAGTTTGCTGCAAACACTGCTCTCCTCCTGCACAGACAACACAGCTGAGCTCTGAAGGGTTGAGGAGGTAAGTAGAGATCGATACACTCAGCAGCCATGCAGTACAAAACACTGCTACAGCCAGTGCACTTGGTGCAAGCCTCAAGAGACGGGCCAGGAGATGACTTGGCTGAGCATCACCTCTGCACAGTGCTGAGGACACTGTGCCTGGGCTCTGCTGCTCACTGTGGGGATGGGAAAGGGCACAGACTGCATCTTTCCCTCCTCAATGGATGTGCCCAAAGAGCAACGTCAACATGTGTTACAAAGTGCTGGCTCAATCCCCATTTGCACGTGTCACTAATATTCCAAAAATCACTTGGTATTGAGGGGCGAGGTCAGGAAAGGTGAGGGCTGTATCAAGGAGAAAGCCATCCAGGCCATGTCCATACAGAGACTGCTGCTACCTGCAGTGTCACCTCTGAGCTAGGGAAGGGAAAACACATGGTTTAATTGTCAAACCCAACCTCCTTAATAAATCACTCCAATCCAGAATTTTGGGGACAGAAAAACCAGCACAGGTTAATAAATGAGTCCATGTCTGTCATCTTTCATGAGTTACGTGTCCACTGGATCCTTGAATCCAACACGTGGGATGGCACCTGGATACCACAAAGTGCTGTATTCAAAATGCTGCCCCAGCAGAGCAGCGTGCTGAGCACAGCCACCAGGCAGCAAGATTCATGGAGGCAGAGCTCTCCTGTAGCATCCTGCATTTTACATCTACTCCATCCCAACCAGCTAAATCAGCCCACTCTTGATGACCAAGGATCTCCTTTATTCCTGCTCAGCAGCCACTGTGATTCACACAATGGAAAATGTAAACCTTAGGGCTGCTTGAGCTATTCTTGCCCAGGTCATTTCCTGCTGAAGCTGGGGAAATTTTTGCCTTGCAGGGTTAAAGACCTGCTGACCTCATCCCACAGTGCCAACACACCATCAGCACTTTTACAGAGCTCCTGCTATTTCATCCCTCTGAAAGGGACTTTGCAACTTTGTGGTCAGCACAAGTAACTTCATTTTCTGCGTGGTGGATGGAAACCACTGCCTGTGCTGCAGCTCCCTACCTCTGGAAACCACGGGGTGTGCATTTGTTTAGTATCCCAGGGCTGTCATTTGGGGCTGTGTCATTTTTTTCCCCCCCGTGCAGCTACGCGGCTAAATTCAAGGAGACACACGTTGCCATTAAACAACCCTGGAGAAAAGCCCCGAACTGTGTCACCTTGTTTAACCAGAGCCAAAGGTTGACACGGGCACATCCCCGCCGTGGATTTACAAGCCGAATAAACAGAGCTGAACTCTGCTCAGCAGGAGGCTGGCTCGCCTGGAGCTCCCTGCGCGATGCCCAGGGAAGCTGCAGCTCCGGCAGCCGCAGAGCCCCGCGGTGCCGGATGCTCCCGCGGCCATCACTGCAGGGCTGCAGGTCAGCCGCCTCTCCTTCCTCGGCAACACGAGGCTGTGCCAGACACAGCCTTTTCAATAATAACCAGCCAATAATACAAATCCAGCTCGTGCAAGATGCTATCTGCTTTTTGCCATCCTTTTTTTTTTTTTTTTTTTTAAAATATCGTATTTATTTTAAATAACCGAATAGGGCACTTTCAGCCTGATTGTGACTGAAAGATCTCTGAAGTGAATGGGGTTTGCCTTGCTGGCAGACTTGGCAATTATTCAGGTCATACAGAGCTGGCAATATCTCCTTATGTTTAACAGGGAAAATGAGCAGAGAAGTAAGGAAGCAATGTTGTAGGGACACTAGAGAGAAGCCATGCAAAATATTTATATTCAAACGAGGAGATCCTAAACAAAGAGCAAATAATAATAAACAAATAACATATATCCAAACATACCAACACTGGTTATCTTTTGGGAGACAAGGTCTTGTAGTAAAGCCTCAATTGCAGGATTATGTCTGGAATACAACTCGTACCGATTAATGCCAATGTGGAATTTTAACCAGTTTGGGTAGGAGTCTATGGAGGTTTCTCCTGTTGGCAAAAATTCTTCATGATGATCTTCATTTTGCCTACCACAAAAAAAAAAAAAAAAAAAGAAAAAAAACACAAGACCCAAAAATTGAGGAGAAAGAAATAATGTTACAGTTTGTAACATACATCAAGAAACAGGGTTTTAGAACGTGACAACTTGGAAAGGCAAAGCACTACAGAGGGGAGAGAGGTCCCAGGTTTCTCCCTGCACCAGCTCCATGCCAGGAGCAGGCTCCCACCTGGGGTCAATGGGGAGATGGATTCTCACCTCCACTCATCCTGCCTGACTGAAAGGCCACCAAAGTCAGGAGCAAAACTCAAGAGTGACATCACTGAGTGTTGGCAGAGCCCCTTATACAGCAGAAACACAGAGCTCAAGTTTTACCTTGTGTTTAGCTTGTATCATGTTACACAGAGCTTTTACAGGTCTGACTCAATGGAGAGCATCATCCTGAATCTTTATTTAACAGGGACATGGAGCTGGGAACCCCAAGTCCAGCAGCAACCTGACCTGTGGTACCCAATGCTCCCACTCTCTCTCTTCTTTCTTAAATAGAGAGAATGAGAAGAAACTGGATTGCTCAGAACTGGTTGCAGAAGAACTGGCTGGTTTTCCCCCTTCCCAAGCAGTGGGATATTTCTACAGGAAGGAATTGTTTAATGACTATTACCTTCTAAATTTCATGTTAGTTCTGTGAACTTTGGCTGCAGCCACTATGGAAAATAAGTACAACAGGCAGCTGCATTGTGAACATCAATGATGATTTCACTGTTCACCTACCAAACAGACTATCCCATATTTTCTATCCAGAGTTCTCTGTGTTTACAGTCATCTCCAGATGTTCAGGCATTTGTGACTTTTTTTCCTCTTTTACTCTCAGAGCAACCAGAACTTTTTCAGGTTGTTTCCCTTCACAGTCAGTTAGGATTATTAGATGGAAGAGGCCTGGACAATTCACATGCTCATGGGGCGGAAATCAGAATTATTTATCCTCTCTTTCTAAAGGTTTAGATCATGCTGGCTGCTCTGCAGCTTGACAGAGCTTTTGCACGGTACAATGCAGCTGTTTAAACATTACAATGTCAGTGTGTTTGGAAGAGGGTGCTGTTGTATTAGACAACCCTTTTGATTTTTCAGTCATTGAAATTTCTCAGCATTTCTTAGGAGCCAACAGGGCATACTATTCACAGAGGCAACTGGCTGCTTTGAAGGCTGGAGAGCAGCGGAGGTGTAGGGCACTGGGAATTAATTGAGGATGAAAAATGTAGCACAGATCTGATCCCGAGAGTGGAAATACCTGCCAGGAGGAATGCCTTTGTGGTACTAGACTTTGCTTTTGAGAAAAGTTAATGTATTACTGGTTGGCCTCACTGCTCAGCCCCTTCACCTCTGGATGGGAGACTGGGAAGGTGGGAAGGTGCTGGAGAATAACGCTCACTATGAGCTCACCCTCACACCGTTGTTCTTGCAACATCTGCCTCGGCTACAGCTGGAGATGGGGTAGACGGACCCTTCGGCCCCAGCGCTCCAGCCTTCTCGTGCTCCTGTGTTTATTCTGTATATCATGGCATTTAATTTTTGAAGGAACACGACCGGGCGAGCGTGCGAATGGTTTCCCTTTTTTCCCAGTGACCCCGAGTCGCTCAGTTTAACCCTCTACCCACTCCAAACCAGCCACGACACCGCTCCTCGCCAGTGCCCGGCTAAACCCCGCGCTACCCAACGCAGGGCAGCGACACGGACACCCCCGTATCCTGGGCACAACCGGAGCCCCGTGCGTGTCCCTCCCCCGGGGGCACTCACCACTCGGGCTGCTCGGCCGCCCGCGGGTTGAACCTGATGTCGCTGTTGACATTGAAGGAGCAGGTCGCCGTCGGCCAGCGGGGGCAGGGCGGCCTACAAGGGTGCTCGAAGAGGGCGGCCAGGCGGGGCGGCGGCGGCGCGGCGGCGGGGGGCGGCGGGCGCGGCGCCCCGGGGGCCGATCAGCGCCGCGTCCTCCCCGCCGCCGCCGCCGCCCCCGCGCGTCCGGGCGCCTCCACCGCCGCCGCCCGCTCCGCCGCCGCCCTCCGCGACTGCGAGGAGAGGTTGGAGGCCGGCTCGGCGTGAAGTCCTGCAGGATCGCAGCTGTTTCGCTGGCCGCGCAGCGGCGCGGGCGGCGCGGCGGCGGCGGCGGCGGGCAGGAAGACACCTGGGCCCGGGCCTCAGCGCGCGCAGGCAGATCATGATGTGAGGTTGCGCGACGAGGAACCATCAGGATCAGCACCCGGATTTGCGGACCAGGAGCATTTTCATGGCCGGGGCGGCTGAATGAATTACCGGGGGAAGGGGGAGGGAGGGGAGGCGGCGGCGGAGAGAGCCCGGGCGGGCGCGGGGCTGCCGGGCCCCCCCCGGGGCTCCGGGTTGCTCCTCTCGGGTCGGGAAGCGAGCGATCAAGTCAATAAAGTTACCTCCATAGGCGCCGAGAAATAAACAGGCTAAACCCGATAGGTCCTCATTTCTCAGTATCATCAAGAACTTGGGAGGGGGAGGGAAAAAAAAAAGAATAAAAGAAAAAAAAAATAATAAAAAAAAGGAGCTCCGGACTGAGCCTTTAAAATCAACGGGAAAACAATGCCAGCGGCATGGCAATATAGAAAGCCATCTGTTCACGATTTCTCCTTCTTTTTATTACAGGGATCACAACAAATACCGAGAACTGACTCTTGGAGAGAAACCGGCATCAGACACTGGCGTTGATTAAATAAAATTTAAAAAAAAAAATACGGGGAGGAGGAGGGGGGAAAGAAAAATATTAAGAAAACCTGTGCGGAAAGGCGACAGAAGAAAAAAAATCATCCATAATATTTGGCTGCGCTGGAAACGCTGACTCCCTTCCCTTGGATTTGAGCAGTGATGCAGCAGAAGCGCTCTCCGCTCGCTCTCGCTCCCTCTCTTCTCTCAGACTCTTTAAGAACATTGGCTGGAAAATCATTTTCTTAGAGCAGTTCCAGTTTCTTCGTCCATCGCGTCCAGTGCTCGGGAGAGATTAGTATGTTCAACTGAGATCGAGTCTGGGTGGCTGCTGTATCCGAGCTGGGCTTTTGCTTTGGCTTGTGTTGGTTTTTTTTGGCTGCAAAACTGTCTGATGGCACAACTGCAACATAAAGGTTAAATATGGCACAGAAAAAGAAAGAGGGGGGAGAAGGAAGGATTAGAGGAAAGAAACTAATATAAATCAGTAGAGGTTCTTTTTAGCGAAGAGGTCTTTGATCTCTGCTGGGTCTTACAGATCTGCCTTTTAGAGAGAGAGAGAAAGGAAGAGAGAAGGGGAGAGAGAAGGAAAGAGGGGGGAGAGATCTTTGGCAGGTGCAGAGTGAAAACCTCTTTCAGCTACACTGAATTCTGGAGACTGGTTGGACTAGTAGCTCTGCAGCTCCAGCTTTCAGTGGGTGTGTTAAATATTATGAGCGAGCCATGATTCCTGCCTTCCTCACGTCATAGTTAGGAGATTGGCTAAATAAACGCTACAGTGATAGTAACAGGAAAACCTCAACCAAAAGCGGGGTTTTTTTTCCCCTCCTCTCCTCCCTTCTTCCCACCCCCCTTTTCATTCTACTGCAGCTCCAACTGGGGCAAGGAGAGGGCGTCTGTTCCACAAAGGTTTGGGAAAAAAAATATATAGGAAAAAAAAAACTCGTAGAGGAGAGAGGAATCTGCACTAACAGCACTGCGAAGCTGGAGCGCGGTCCCTGCCCTGCTGGGATCAGCGATTCTGCTCCGTCATTGCCCGGGCTGGAAGTGGCGCATCGCCCGCTCCCCTCGCCCCCAGCCCCGGCAAGGTCAGCCCGTCAAACCATGTGCTCCGCTCCCTCCCGAGGAACAGCCTTTCCTTCTAATCCGCGATCCTGCGGGCTGTGATAATCCGGGAGTGTGCTGCCCTCTCTCCTGCTGCGTTTGCTGCGCAGTTGGCTCCGTGTCTGGGTGGCCTAAAGGCTAATGGAAGTGGTGGTCTTGGAGCCAGGACAGCCCAAGGAGTGCTGTTGACGTTTGTCTAAGGTTGAGGGCACTCTGGAGGAAGGAACAAGCTACTCCTGATCTTCAGGTGATCAGGCAGGGATGCTCAGAGCTGATGATTTTTGGTTTTGGGCAGGGGTCTGCCTGGATTTTATGGTCCATAGCAGGGCTCAAATGATTGTCAAGTGGGGCTGCAGGAGAAATGAAAAAGGTAATGTTCTTCCTCCAACCCACCACCACCTTTCCACAGAATCATCTCAATGCTGAATGTGCTGGTCCATTTTTCCCCTGCATTAAGCAGCATTAAAGTATTTATTTTTCTCAAAAGATATTCCCCCCCTGACAGGCTTCATCCAGCACTGTTCCCTCACTAGGTGTTTCTGCAAAGCCCTGTGCTCTGCACTCCTCTGAAGCACATCCATGCAATGTTACAATGTTTTGCACAGGGGAAATCACTGCTCTTCCAACAGGAAAAGAAGATTGATGAAAAAAAAAAAGACCCGACGGGGTCATGATCCTATGGGCTGCTCTGTACCTTGAGTAGAAACACTTGCTGCCCTAGGGGGACCTTGTAGTCCCAGAGGTACAACTCCCTGTAGATTCAACACCCATGGAAGCCATTATGTCACTCTGGATCCTTCAAGTACAGATGTACTTAATTGCAGCAAAATATTTTGCTACATAGCCAGAAGCAAGGCTTTCCATCTTTTTGCACTTTTTTCACCAAAATCAGCTTAGGCTTTGTGGACAGCTGACTGCAGACAGTGACAATGGTTCCTTGTTGTCACTGCCTCCCACTGCTGCTAAATAGCAAGTCTGTATGGTCCTGCTTGGGAAATCGAGTTTGGTTCATAAGTTAACTACCTCCCCATGCAGTGAGCTAACATTCAGCTTATTTTAATCTAGTTTAGGAAGTTGGTATTTTAGGCCCATCAGGAAGAGCCTTGAAGTTTTGGTTCGGCTGGGGAACCCACAGCTGCTGGGAGGGGATATGAGATGTGATGGGTGCAGTATGAATGACATGTGGAAGACTATCTGTTTCATTTTGGGGTTCTTTTTTTGCCTGCCTGTGGCTGTAGCCTTTCTCCTGCTGCTGTCTCGTTGGGAAATCAGCTGAACTGAGTTATCAATCAAGCCCAAGGGTACAAAAGGGGGCAGGTGGATGCTCGATCCTGTGCCTTGGGGAGTGGAGCGATGGAGGAAGGCAGCCAAAGGCAGTGCTCTGGAAAGAGTGAGTAAAGGGCATGTGTTGCTTGTGTTACACTCTTTGCTGTGACTTTTTAAAAGAGATCTGAGTGAGATGTGTGTGAGGATAGATAATATGACACATTATCTGCTTTAGTATGGCACAGTGGGGTTTGTAGGCTGCCAATTGGTTTTTTTTTCTTAGTGTTTGCCCTACTAAAACTGAGGACTGTAGTATTAGATGGGGGTAAGATGAAGATAAAGTTGCAAATTACTTAAATGAGTTCTTTAAGATAAAATTGTTTGCATACATCTATTACTTTGCAGTAACAGAACATTGTGTCAAATGTGTTGTAACTCCATGTTCAAGAGTTATATAATGAAAGTGAGACTACCTTTGAAATACAATATAAGCAACTAAATGCAATTAATTACATGACTTTCAAAAGGTGAAATAACAGTACTGTGAACAAGTAACTGATTCCGTGAAACTACATTTTTTTGTTCCCATCAATGTGACCTTTGGTGCTTATTGGCTATTCGGTTAAGTATGGTTTCCTCTAAACTGTGTCTGCCTGAGAACTCAGTCTCCCTAACTCTCCTCTATGAGCTGTTTGTTCCTTAAGCCTTTTAGATATTTGAGTTTTATCTAAAGATGGGACACTGGTGGATGTACCCTGTTCCCTTCTGTACATGACCTTTGTGGACAAGTTTTGCTGCAACAAAAATGCCCTAGAGATGTGAATAAAAGAGAACTCTCTTATCTGTGCATTTCTCACCTTGCCTTCTTTCTTCTCTTTTTTTTTTTTGATTTTTTTTTTGTGGGATGCAGAAGAACTGAGTCTCACTTTTTTGAAATTGTACTTGCTACTTTGTAAATAGCATCCATACACTAGCAAAGGCAAAAATGTTGAAAATGTTGAAACAGCAAATGTCGCCAGCAAGGGGTGGCTTGTGGTGAGGAAGCCACAGATTGTTGATGTATGAAGCCATTGGAATATGTCAGGAGCTGGGCTGCAGGTCAGGATAGCCTGGAAATTGGGCAAGAGGTACAAGAGAAGGGGCAGGCAGACTCAGGGACCAGATCTAAGGTATTCCAAGGTTAGTGCAGCTTCCCAGGACAACCTCATTGCTGACCCTCTGTAAGTGTGAGCTTGGTGCAAGAGAGCTTTTGTGTTTGTGCTGGGATGTGGAGTGTATGTGACCGACCCTTGGTAGGAAAAGGTTCCCTTTTCCTACTGTAAAGGAAGAAATGGGGATTTGTTTCCAACCAGCTGGATTTCGGCCCTCTCTCCCTGTCTATGTACCATGATACCCTGGCCCTTTGGCTTTCAGTGCAAGTGCAATATTTGCATACAGGTTACCTCCCATGCTTCAAACATTTGCCTTCAAGACTTGAATAGATGAGAAAACAAAAATTTCTGTTAACTGGTGACTGTTGTTCAAGGTTTTCTTCAAGTAAGCTTTTAAGCAGCAAACTTGTTTGTGTAAAGCCACAGGGTCTTTGTAATAATGCCTGATGTGGGTAATTTAAGAAGTTAGTAGTTTATTATTTTACTTCCCGAGGTCTTGGTCTCAGTAAGGAAAATATAAATATTTCTCCTTAACTAAACTCTGTGCTTTCACATGGAATTCCAGTATGTGGCAAAGAGCTTTTCATTTCTGCTGTGCTGTGTGTTGGACCAGCATTACCCCCATAATTGCTGGCATTATGTAAACAAGGACATAATAAGTTCTTAATGGAATATTATTACATTAATAAATCACTGCATACAGCTCATTTCAATAATTTAAATGAAATCAAGTCCCTTACATAGACTCTTTATTTTCTTTTTGGTCATTGAATTAAAATCTTTCCCCTGTTTTATTGAAGTATTTGAATGTCATTGGGAATTTCACAATGAATTGCTACAATCACAAGCCAAGATTGCTTTGGATCTAACAGGCTTTTTAATGCGGTATTACAAATTAACACCAAGCACTTCTTTACATGTTCTACCTTTGCTTTTATTTAACAATACAATCAAGAACTCGGGGGGTGGGGTTATTGTCGTATATCCTGGCATTTCCTCA